TACCTTTCTCAGTAAATTTTAACGAATTGCTTAATAAATTTAATAAAATTTATTTAATTCTATTTGGATCTGAATTCATACTTATGTCTTCTTCGAAAGTTATTTTTTTTTCAACCAAAATTCCTTTTTGACTGGCTTATAAGGATATCAAATCTATGATTTCTTAGACAATAAAATTGATAAGAAAAGGAGTATTCGTTAATCTTAGAGTATTATTTTATATTCTAGAGAAGTCTAAAATATCACTAATCATAAATAATAATAATTAAGCCCACCTTTTTAATATTATTAAATAATGCAGTTCATTTTAATTTATAACAATTCTTAAATTAAATATATATAATTACTATTCTAAAAATTATACAATAGCAACTATTCCATTAATTGGAGTTTTAAAATCGTGTGATACACTAGCTAACATTGCATCTTTATATTAATCTCTCTATTATAAATCCTTAATCGAATTTTTCTCATATCTTTATTATTAACTTTCAAAAATGAGCATTGTAGTTAGCTGTTATTCCCAAATTATTTCTGAAACCTCAATATCACAAGAAAAATAATTTCGAGCATTACAATAGAATTCTATTTGACTATCATTTTACAACACGTTGCAACTTTCTAATTTCTTTCCTCTTTAGTATATAAATGATAATTAATAGTCATTGCATATCCTATTTGATAAGTAATTGCTGATGTTATCCTTGATTCTTTTCTGAAGAAATTTGCCTTATAAGTTAAGGAGTTTATTCCAGATATTCATTTGTCAATTAATCAGTTTTAAATAAAAATTCTAGGAAATAACTAAATAAAATTCAATTATTTTCTGTAATACAAAAAGGAATAGGTAGGCTAGCTTTAAAAAAATTGAAAAGTTAATGTATTTAAGAATTTTTAGAATTTCTGTTGGTAACCTTTTAATATTGACCTTTTTGGATTTATTCAAATCATTACATTATATCAAAATCATTAAATAGCCAAAGATAGACAAATAACATAATGGTTATAAGTATAAATGAGATCTGAAAAACAAATAAAATACGCAAAACAAATAGTAAATAGATTTCTGTTTTTCCATGAGTACATTAGCGCTTAGAATAAAACGCATGCTCAAATAATAACATTTAATCTATATTAATATTAACTTTACATTCTCATCTGAAATAATTAATTCATTTGACAAACATATACTACCTATTAATAATATCAATGATAAGTTTTAGCCAAATTATCCCATAATTAAGAATTGATCAAACAGTAAAAAGTAATTGTGCTATGTTTAGGTGATACCATTATAAATTGACACAATGGCGGATTATATAATCAATGTCATAATAATTATTGACATTTTAATTTGTATTAAAAAATAATGTCGATATTTTAAGTTTTTCCCTTCAGAAAGAACATTTCTTAATCAAAATCATTTTATTATCAAAAGTATAATCAGAAATAATATTTATATAATATTTATTTTAGTCGACATGTTTCTATAGGCTTTGGGAGGATATCTTTCATTCCACTCTTAAATGCAAAATCTAAGTTCTCCTTACTATCAAATGCACTACACATTATGATATTGGTACTCATCTCATTCTCCTATAAAATTGACTATATTTCTTTAGATGTCTAATATCCATCAATTCCAGGCATATTAATGTCCATAAATATCAATTTATAGGTGCATTAGCAGTTTTTTGATCTATCTTTAATCTTATCTATTGCCATTTGTCCATCATAAGCACTATCACTTTTGATGGTGAAATAACTTTAAAACAATAATAAAATGATTAAAAGGAATTTCGTCAACAATCAATACATTTATACAGTTACATTTATTTTTTACTTTACTTTTGTATGGTTCTTAAATACATCCATCAGTTGGTATTGTTAATGCTTAATTATATGATTGCAAATCCTTCACTAAAAATCGGTTATTTGTAAATTAATTTAATTAACTCGTAATATTTAATTTACTTTTTCTCATAATTGTCTCGCAATTTAACTTGAAACCTTTAAACCCAAACCTACATATTTAATATAATCCTCATCTCCTCTTCTTGCAATATCTACTTCTGAATTTTAAAGAATTTTATTTATTAAAAATAACTTCTCATTTGAAATTCCACATCCTGTATCGTAGACTTCGAATTGATACAAGGAACCAACTTTTCAAACTTTTAGTTACATAATTCCATTTTACTTTGTAAATTTTACCGAATTATTTAATAAATTAACTAATATTTGCAATATCCTATCGAAATCACTTCTTATAAATGCATCATCATAAGTTTAAATAACAAATTTGATTTACTTTTATTCACATTTAGCTTTAAAATAATCTTCTATTGTACTTATTAAATTATACAATTTACAAATAGAAGGCCTCAATTTGAATGTTTTTACTTCAAAATTTGCAAATTCTAAAATATCATTTATTTAATGAAGTAATTTTTTATTAGAAATTATCACAGGTTTTAGATATTTATCATTCAAATCAGATTTTAATTATTATTCTAATGTTTACAAAAGTTGTAAAGAACAATTTAAAGGAGTAAGTAATTCATGTGAATAAGAATCAATAAGCATAAGCATTTATTGAAAATGATATCTTTCTTTCATATCAATTGATTTCTCAAATATCCCTTTGATAATTCATATATCCTAATCTCGTAAGTCTTTAAACTAGTCTAATCTCTATATTTTAGGGAATTGATTTTGATAATTCTAGTTATGCCCTTGGACTTGAATTTATTTATAATTTGAGCAATATCAATAGTATTATTATATTATTTGCAAGAATTCAAAGAAATTGCTTTTTTTCTTGTCTAACTAAAAGATTGCATTCTTCTTAATTGAAATTATGATCCATAATCTTCAGATGGATTGAATTCAGATCTTCTTTCAAATCCCAAAGCCCTAGGAATCTATTAATGCCGTATCCACGCCCTAAAAGTGATTAATTAAAATAAAATTTATCTTTGTATCATCAAAAATAATTATTATTACAAGCAATCTTCTTTGATATTTGAGCAATATTTTTTTGTTTTATGGTTAGAATTCACAATATTATAGTTATTATCTAATTAGCATATTCCCAGAGGAATGTAATTGAAGAAATCAATCACATCATTAAAATCATTCTGAGAAGGATATCAAATTAAGTTAGTTTCCTTTAGGATTGAGAATTAATTTTACTTTCTGTTAGTTTTGTATCCTAATAATTAAAGAGTTCTTTATATGTATGTAATAATAATAAAATTTAGCAGTCTCATTATCTAAATGTACAGAATTAGATATAGAATCTAAGCTATATGATATCATTTTATTTTAATTATTAGTGCTTCTAGTTCATCCAATTGTTTATTTAAACGTTCCTTGTCTTTTTTTAATTTTTTTGATTCTTGTAGATATTGGTTCATTTATAAATCTTAATTGATTTTCCTTCATTCCAAGTAATTTTTAAGATAAGTATTTTCTAATTCTAATTCATTAATTTTTTCAATCATTTATTATGCATGACTATTTTTACTTGAGCTGGATGTACTAAAGTTTGGAACTCATCTTAATCAACAAATGATACTATTTTCATTAAATCGACGTTGTTATTTCTTATTTCAAATTCTGTCAATGATTATAAACTACTTTAGATATTTGGCAATTATGTATTCATGAGTAGCTCAGTTAATTGTTCAATAGTTAATGTTATTTTTGTATTACAATAAAAATATATTTATATGCTGATAGATTTTTCTATTTAAATATTTAATTATGTTAAAATTAAATTCCTGTACTATTCATTTTGTTAATTTAATTTCGAGATATTACAATATATTTCTATATATATAAACTTAAGTAAAAATAAATTATTTAAGTGATTTATTATTTGTTTAAATTATAAATTTATCTTTAAGACATAAGAGTTTGAATCTAAATTTAATATATTATTTAGACAATTACTTGTGCTGATAATAAGAGTTGAATATATAATAAATAAATTTAAATATGTTAAATTTATAAGAAAATGGATTAAAATAAGAAAAGTTTCAATTGAACAGATGTCATGTAATCTGATAAATAAATTTAATTAAATTGTTAATTGATAATATAAGGCAGATGAAATATTAGCAAAACTAGATATAATGGGCAAGAAGGAATTTGATAGAGATATTGCAGTAATGCAAACCTACATAATTAGATATGAAATTAGATTTTAAACTTGTAGACATTAGTTAAATCAAAATAACTTCTATAAGAGAGAATAAAGAATAGAGAATTATAATTAAAATGAATTTAATAAAATAAAGCAATTTGTGAAAGCCAATTAGCAGAAACATGTTTTTTAAATATCTATATTTATCTGTTTATTCCGATACTAGATAAATATTTCTGACATTGTTGTTCTGTTCAAGACATTCCTCTAAAATTAAAATATTCAAATTGTCATTTATAATTAACTTTAGGAGTTATAAATTAAATAGCTATACCAGATTCATAATTAGATAAAGTTAATCCAGAATTCAATTAAGACTTTGAATTGTAAATTGTTAATTTCAATGTTTTCTAGTTCGATACCACCTTTAATTTCTACTCTTTAGATTTAATTTTATATCAGAACTGATAACTCTTTACCAACATTGTGGGGTTAAGCTTAATTGAAAATTTAACAGCTAGATGATCAAGTTATTAAATAAGTAACATTGAAATTATAAGACCCTGTTGGTAGAGAACTTGGTTCAACAATTGAATTAGATGCATAAATTGTTTTAAATAAAGTAATTATAAATTTTGCTAATAGAAAACAGCATTAATATTTATAGACCTAATTGTAAAAAGTTGATTAGAAAATATTTATCTTGGACAATGATATGATTGAATACAAGCATAATTTAGAAGTAATTGAGAAACCATTCAAATCTAAATAATAATAAAAAGAACAAAGTAATAAATAATTGTCATTAAATATATTTTATTAAAGATTACATACATCTTAAAACTAATAAGAATAAGATTAAAATATTAATGAAATAGATTAATAGAATCAATTAAATTCACCTTTAGAATAGAAAGAATAAATCTTATCAATTTTATAATCTGAGAAATAATTTGAAATTTAAGATTAAACTCCTGAAGCTCCTGAAATTCTATAACATAACGTTATCATTTTTACTATTTATGGACTGATCACATTATTTGTTTGTTCTGCTAAACCTTCTTTTTAGATGTAAGAATGTGATTTTATAAATAAGGTATTAGTTTGTCATGGTTTAATGTTCACTATTTTAATGGATAGATTTGAACCCTTACACATAAAAGTAGTAGGATTAGGCCTGCTTC